GACTTTCCACTGATGTGCTTCTTAAAGTCATGCTCACAGAAGCGTCTGAATGAAACCCAGATGTTGAGAGCAGCAGGTGTGTGAAACAGCAGATGTGAAGGGGAAACCCATCTGAACACAGATAAGATGCGTGCATGACAGAAGAGATGCATGACATGAAATCGAAGAGTTTTATTCAGTGTTTCTGAAAGTTTGCTAGCGTTCAACAGGCTAATACGACAAACCCGGGAAGACTGTTTGTCTAGAAACTTTAAATGCACATTTTCAGCTTTTGATCACTGAATTATAAGCGACAGATAATGATGCACGTGAAGTGTTTTTCAAACTGGATTCTTCAGGAATGTCAATCAAACTTGGGAGCGTGCGAGAGATTTGACGTGGCACTTCAGAAGAAACACGAACAACATCACGAAACTCACATTCACCACCATAACACCTTGTTTTGTGTTTATATTTGACAAATTACACATTATATGCTTTACGAACTTTACGTATCTTCAAACTCAGACATCTGGGCCCAGGTGACAATGCTTTGAATAAAGTCGTGAAATATGAATTTCTTTTAATGCACTGAACTCAACAAGAGTGGTGTTTAATACATACTTTTAATGTAGATGAAATGCATAAACTGTGTGTCTGAACTTACTTTTGAGTAGATGATGATTTCAAAGGCTTTACACATTCGAATAAAAGTGGAGTCTGTCAGATGTCGGACTGTTTTTAAAGTTGCACGTTTAATTTCGATGTAACAGTCAGAAGACAGAAAGAGAGAGAGAGAGAGAGACAGACAGACAGACAGAAAAACAGCTGGCGGAGACACAGACAAGAAAAAACGAGAATCCCAAACTTTTTAACTCACCTCAAACATAAGTCCAATCAAAATGAAAATCACCAAACTAAACACAATGTCCGCGTGATTCTGAATGAGAAACTCTTGGCTGAAGAAAGGATAACTCTTGTTTCTCCTGCGAAAAGCCATTTTATAAGTTAGCGATTTTCAGTAGCGCTGCTTTTCCTCCAAATCTAAAACTTCCACGAATCACTCCAAACTTCAGCAAACGCACTGCGCATGCGCGCTTTAGCAACGAACTGAATTTAGAGCGCATGCGCAGTAAGAAGCTAGGAATGACTCGTGTGGGTAAAAATGTAGGAATTTCTTTTGTTTTCTTTTTTTTCCACAAATTATTTTACATTCCAAACATAATAATAATTTTATTATTATTATTATTATATTATCATAATAAAATTTACTGAACAGTAAATGTAGTCGTGCATTGCCATTCATTTTCACAATAGTATAAAAATAGCTTAAAATTACACGCTATTAAATGAAATCGGGCAATACATAACAAGCTATTTAATTTAATATTATTATTATATTATAATAATTAAATGACACGTTAATTAATAAAAAATTTAAAACATAAATTTCCTAATCGCAAACGACTGTGGTTGGTCTATACTGACCAGCGCTGAGAAAAGTAACACGTACCACGTGACAGCACAGCAAAGACTATGTGCCGCTATAGAAGCTGTTTGGATTAATTTACAGCTGAATAATGAAAATAAAACCTTTAATAGCCTAACGTATCTGCGTTATTTCGCTACCATTCCACAAAACATCGTGCCTGTTATACTGTAGATTGTGTGTAGCAATTAATTTTCATTGTTATTAGTTCAGTGCCTTCCCTTTGCTGTTTAATCTGATACTTCATTCTATTAATCATTGTTTCCACTGTGTAATGTATATATGTTTGGTATATTCAGCAATTTCCTGCAACACTATTTATGATGGCTATTTCTTCTGTGCACAGCACAGATAAAAATGAGCTTGATGACATTTCACAAGTGGAGACATATGTGAGAGGCATATTAAAACAATTTCTTGATTCCTGTGAAGTTCATTTAATGGCTAAATGGAATTCACCAGAAGAGCAAACAATCCACATCCAGGAAAACCAAACAAACTTTCATTCACATTATCTGCAAATCTCTATAATCTTATGGCTGAATTTGAGTTGAAATTGTTGCAAATATTGACCTGTTAATGGACACAACCCTGCACTACTGTTTAAGCAGAGACATCTTTCAGATGCATGCAAATAATTATTAGATAGTACACACACTCTCAAAATGCCTTCATGAAAACAATGGAAAACACACACACACACACACAGTGAGCACTTCAAACAGTGAAAAATACCCCTGAAACATTGTATGGCCCTTGAGCCCCTGTCCAAGGCAAATGCATCGAATATACAACATCTTTATCTTTCATAAGTTTTTTTTTAGATGTCATTTATACAGAATTTTAAAGATGAGCTCAAACTAAAAACAGTTATGTTACAGTAGCACCATGCATCAGCTTGATAAATTCATCAACAAATCAATGAATAATAAAATAAAAAATTAATGAAAAAAAAAAAAATATATATATATATATATATACTTTTAAATTAAATAAAAATAAATATATAAATAAATAAATACATACATACATAAATAAATAACATTTCAAATTAGGGTGCAATTGCAACACTTTAAATGCCCAGGGGAAATAATTGATATTACCGTAGGGTTAGTTTTTGAAACCTGAAAAGTACAAAATTGTGAAAAACTATAAACAAAAATGACCGATCCTTTGAAAGGCAAAACCAAAGATTTGTGGATAAGACAAAGTGAGAAATATCCAAGATACAAATGACTGAAGTACCAGCAGAAAAGATCAGAGAGCAAATATTCTTATGCAAGGAAGTGGAGCAATCTGCCATTACAAAACCCTTATTAATTATCCGCTAATCTACATATTCAGAGTCCGATCATGTTCTAAGATGAGTTTTGTTTTTATTTATGTCGGTATCAGGCACTATATGCCAAAAACTGATAATCCAGACCACAGCCCTTCAGAAGAGTGGATTTACATCACAGTCTGAGAGGATATGACTTACACTGAACACCTGCAGCTCACAGGAAGATTGTGCTTTCGGCTCAAACCAACAGCATGTGGATTTTTATTGGTTATGTTCAGAATGGCTTACTTCCATACCTGCAGTAGACTACACAGTACAAAGTATGCAAATTTTCTATATGCATGAAATACACACATGACCTTTTTATCTCCTCTTTGACTAATTTGTTTGGACTGACAACCATTTTGTCAGATAACTGGATTAAAACTGTAAAAATAACCATTCTTATTTCTTAGATGATAACTAGATGCCGCTTGGTTAACTTAACATGCGATGTGATGAGGTCATGTGATACTGTAACTTATTTATCGTTGCTCACTTCATACTATTTCACATACTTATTAAAAAGTAGAAAGTATATACTGTGCAGTATTCCATTCTGAACATAAACAGAGAGACAGTGAGAGAACTAAAAACAGAAACAGAATTGTAAACATTCAAAAAAAAATGTGTTCCTTCATACAGTTTGTTTAAATATTGTACTCTATTCTAATGTCTTAAAATCATATCCAGGTTCAAGTTTCAGCTGCTTGTATTTTTTGCTTGTATATTGTATTTTATTTTATAAATGAATGCCCCGTTCACACTGACAGTCAGGAAGCAGCTGTATGTATGTATATGTATGTGTGTGTGTGTGTGTGTGTGTGTGTTACCAAGAAATTTTGGAGCACTTCATGCTTCCTTCTGCTGACCAGCTTTTTGAAGATGCTGATTTTATTTTCCAGCAGGATTTGGCACCTGCTCACACTGCCAAAAGCACCAAAAGTTGGTTAAATGACCATGGTGTTGGTGTGCTTGACTGGCCAGCAAACTCACCAGACCTGAACCCCATAGAGAATCTATGGGGTATTGTCAAGAGGAAAATGAGAAACAAGAGACCAAAAAATGCAGATGAGCTGAAGGCCACTGTCAAAGAAACCTGGGCTTCCATACCACCTTAGTAGTGCCACAAACTGATCACCTCCATGCCATGCCGAGTTGAGGCAGTAATTAAAGCAAAAGGATCCCCTACCAAGTATTGAGTACATGTACGTAAATGAACATACTTTCCAGAAGGCTAAAAATGTTTTTTTTATTGGTCTTAATAAGTATTCTAATTTGTTGAGATAGTTAATTGGTGGGTTTTTGTTAAATGTGAGCCAAAATCATCACAATTAAAAGAACCAAAGACTTAAACTAAGTCAGTGTGTGTGCATTGAATTTATTTAATACACGAGTTTCACAATTTGAGTTGAATTACTGAAATAAATGAACTTTTCCACGACATTCTAATTTATTGAGATGCACCTGTATATACTGTATATGTATACTGTATATATATATATATATAGATATATATCAAAGTTTGGAGTCAGTATGATTTTGGAGTCAGTACGAAGTATACTGTTATTCAGCACGACAATTAAATTGATCAAAAGTGACAGTAAAGACCTTTATAATGTTACAAAAGATTTCTATTTTAAATAAATGCTGTTCTTCTTAACTTTCTATTCATCAAAGAATCCTAAAAAATGTATCACAGTTTCCACAAAAAAGAAAAAAAAAATAGTAAAGCCCTGTTTTCAACATTGATAATAATCAGAAATGTTTCTCGAGCAGCAAATCAGCATATTAGAATGATTTCTGAAGGATCATGTGACACTGAAGACTGGAGTAATGATGCTGAAAATTCAGCTTTACATCACAGGAATAAATTACATTTTAACATATATTATAAATAAATAAACTGTAATAATATTTCACAATATTACTGTTTTTACTGTATTTTTGATCAAATAAATTGTGAGCAGAAGAGAATTGTTTCAGAAAAGACCAACCCCAAACTTTTGAAGAGTAGTGTATTTTATATATATATGTGTGCGTGTGTGTGCATAATGTGTTTTGCTGCCACTAAAAATTCACATTCTGGAAGGGAAGCAGTCTTGAAATTGCATCACATCATGAACTAGATGAATAAGTATTTTTGCATGAATGAAACTCATTGCCGACAATTTCTGACGTTTTCCACAAATATTTTTTTTTAAATTACATCCCTGAATGTGGGCAAAGACAAATTACACAACACAGTGAAATGCTCACAACACCATTAACTGCTTCTCCATCTTGCTTCACATGGATCATCTTCACTCTCATTGGTAGCTGCCATTGAAGCTCATTTGCATGACATTAAAGACACGCCCACATTGCAACAGTGCTGCTTATATTGTCTGGAAACGTTCACGCTGGAAACCGCTGTCGGTGTGAATGCCATTTAAAGCTGCAGTTCATTTGCTGTTAAAAACCCGCCGTCCTCTTCCGGACCCCTGCGGGACAGAACTACCTGCCTGCGGGGGCCTCTGAGGTGTGTTCCAGAACCCTCCGGAAGCCCTTGTCCATTCAGTCCGGGCGCAGATGTGTAGCAGGGTCCCGCTCGTTCCAGAAGCCCACAGGCGAGATCCCTGTGCAGCCCGCCGTCTGTGGAAATGGGGCTCAACTCGTCAAGAGTTTCCAGGCCGGTTCCAGAGCCGAAACCGAAGGGCGTCTCAGATTGTGGGTCGGCGCTGAAGTATAAAGTGGAGCTGGATTCAGTGGGGAAAACAGATTTTCCCTCCGGCGAGCTCCACTTGCACTCGGACTCAGGCGACTCTAATGGGCTCTCCATTTCGAGACTGTCATCCGCTTCCTCTTCCTCTCTGGCTTCACTCACGCTCTCAAACTCGTCCCTGCCGTCGGACAGCGGCACTATCGTATTGTCCCGGCTTTCCGAGGTGGACACGCACCCGTCCTCTATGATCTCTCCCTTCCGATCCACCACCAGTATCCCAGACACGCCACCCGCCCCATACGCCCTGTTGATCTTAACCGGGTCACCGGTTTTCAGGGCGAGACGGATGAGCAGCCAGTGATGGTGGCGACACTCTCCGTCCGGCTTCACGCCGCAGCTCCCGGGATGCTCCAGCAGAGAGCTGGGAATCCCAGAGAGGGAGAAGGAAGGATGAGAGGACGGGAAGAGGATGGGAAGAGGGGCCGGAGGAAGACTTTTGTCCCCCAGAGAAAAGGACGAATCGCCCTGCTGAAGACATTCACGACCCATGTGCGCACGCTGACCTAAACCCAGAGAGATTTCAGTAGATTTGGGATGCAGGAAACGATAGTACAACATCAGGGACGTCAAACCTGAGAGAGATAGAGAGCAATTCATTTAATTTAACTGAAAAAGCTCAAATGCAAATGTTACTGGAGGAGGGAAGTTATGCATCTATAGCAACCAAATTTGTATTTTGAAGTGCACATGTTAGAAATCAATCACTTGGATCAGCGTTTTCAAGAATTGCCTGTGTAATTAATTTTTTATTTTTATTTTTTTTTATAATAATTATTATAATATATATAAGCATTATTATAATTTAATAATTTTTGTCATTTTAATTACATAATAATTTTATGTTTTCATCCATTTATTTTACTGCAGTGAAACTACTTATAATTTTCGTGAATCTTTCAGAGACAGGAATATTTTTATGTAATATAGTTTCAAAGGTCTTGCTGAATAGATCCAAACAACTGCATAACAAAAAACATTTAGCGAGTGGATAATAATGCTAAAAGTGCATGTTATATATGTTTATTTAAACACTACGACGTTTGGGGTCTTTCAGTTTTTTTTTAAGAACACAAGGACACATTAATTTGATCAAATTAAAAAGATATTTATAATGTTACAAATGACTTCTATTTCAAATAAATGCTGTTCTTTTAAACTTTGTATTTATCAAAGAATCCTAAAAAAAAAAAAGCATCAGTTTCCACAAAAATATTAGGCAGAAAAGCTGTTTTCAACATTCAACAAATCAGCATATTAGAATGATTTCTGAAAGGTCATACCAATGTATTAATATAAAAGAGCATTTTTTACTTTTGCATCATACCGGTTATTTTACACACATAAAGATTTACCAAGTTAAACATCCCGTTTTTTTTTTTTATTAAATTAAAGTATTTTCCCCTCAACATATTTAATTTCTATGCAAATGAACCCAAAGCAAAAAAATGAAAACTACACTTTAACCATTAATGGGTATAAAAATACAAAACCGTTTCATTGCTTTAATGGGTGTCTCATTATTTTTCATAATTTGACACCTTTCTAATCGAGATCTGTCTTCCTTCCTATAATGCACTCGCACACACAAACTCTCACCGAGCAGAAAGCTGCACAGCACAGCAGTGGGGACGGTCAGCCTATCCCATGATGCATCAGTCAGGATGTCAGATGCAGCCAATAGCAGTGTAGCATTTTCCAGCAGCATCACCTACACAGCAGAGAACAACGCAGCTTTAATTTGATCGCTTAAAAGAATAGCTCCATCACATTCTGCATGAACTATTCCTTTAAATCCATATTCTGATATATATATATATTGTGCATATTCATATTCTACAAAAAATTGAAGTTATATATAGGCTATATGACAATATGACAAAGTGTTTTTAATGGTGTAAACAGTCTAGAAAAACAGTAAATGATACAGACCTAAACATTATAAGCAAAGATATTCTACAAATATATGCTGTTATAAAGACAGGAGATTGTGTGTGTTTGTACCGTGTAGAATCCCACCATCCGGAAGCGGGACGGGCCGTTCTTCACGTTGAGAAACAGGAACAGATGCACGCCTCCCAGAATGATGTTAAACACACGCCATGACCACTGACCCACATATATGTCAGTCTGCTGCGAGACCAACCACAGCGCAGCCATCAACCAATGAGACGCTGGGAGAAAATGAGACACACAATGATTAAGAGACATATTTTATACAAACTGAGAGATGAGGCCATAATATTATTATTATTGTGTGTGTCAACTGTCAACTAACATTATGCTATAGAACATTATGCTATAGAAGCTGTTCACAGGTTGTATATTTTTGAGGAAATTGCACTTAATAGTCAGTAAAATAATGCAATGCAAAAAAAAAAAAAAAGAAAGAAAAGAAATTTAGACTTAATTTAATTTTTGCAAAATACTTGTTTTTTTTTATATATATTTTTAGTGCAAAATTTTTGGTGCAATTTTTTTTCTTTTGATTTTAGCATGAAATCATACACTACTGTTCAAAGGTTTGGGGTCGGTAAGTCTCTTTTGCTCATCAAGGCTGCATTTATATGATCACAAAAACATTAATATCTTGAAGCATTTTTACAGTTAAAGTAACTGTTTTCTATTTCATTATACTTTCAAATGTAATTTATTCCTGTGATGGTAAAGCTGAATTTGGTGCTCATGAAAAATGTCTTATTATTACCAATGTTGAAAACAGTTTTGCTGCTTAATATTTTGTGGAAACCCGTGATACATCTTTTTTTTTTTCTCTCAAGATTCTTGGATGAATAGAAAGTTCAAATTATACAGCATTTAACTGAAATCTTTTGTAACATTATAAATGTCTTTTTTTCTAAACAATTATTTTTTTTCTTAATAATGTTGTTGTTGTTATTGTGCGTGGTTGTTATGTACTACTGCAGCTTTTGAGTCAAAGACAAATTTCCTGTAAAGGACAATAAAGTATAACTCTAACTCTAACTATTGGTAATTTACAAACAAAACCTGAGCATGCACATCTAAAATCTTCATTCTCCTGGAGTTGATGTGGCTCAGACTCACCTATGACCCCGATGACCCAGCAGCCGAAGGTGCGGGTGAACAGGGCGAGGCTGGTGAAGCGGGCGGCTAACATGCCCATTCTCCACAGCAGCTGACACAGGAGCGCCGCCGGTGGCATTTGCAAATGCCCGGGACGGATCAAACAACAGGCCCGGCTGTAGAGCACCAGCGCCCAGGACAGCGACAGCAAACACACCGCATCACACAGAGCAACTGCAAAAACACATACATGAAGAGTGCAAAGTTTTTATCTACAGCATCAATGTTCTGCAGTATAAATTTATGAACCATTTCCATCACCAAATGGAATTGCATAAACAATGACTGTTTTCAAACAGGTTTCTATCTCAAGACTGACCTGGAGATGAGAGTCCGTAGTCGGTAATGCTGAGAGCGTACGTCTGCAGGAGTGTCTGTGGTAGAGTCATCAGCAAAACCTCCAGCAGACGCAAAGCAGACAGGTCTGCATTCTGCATCACCTCCTGCGCATGCGACTGCGAAGAGCCCTGAGATGTCCATTCACACACACTGCAGTCCCAAAACCTAACACACAACACACACATTACAATGAAACTCATGCAATATAATTTGTGAGAGAACTGCAGAAGATTTGTGAGCTGATTAAAAGTTAAAGGAATAGTTCACCCAAAACTGAAAATCAGCTGAATATTTACTTACCCTCCAGCCATTCAAGATGTAGATGAGTTTGTTTCTTCATTGGAGCAGATTTGGAGAAATGTAGCATTACATCAGTTGCTCAGCAATGGATGCTCTGCAGTGAATGGGTGCCGTCAGAATGAGAGTCCAAACAGCTGATAAAAACATCACAATGATCCACAAGTAATCCACACCACTCCAGTCCATCAGTTAATGTCTTGTGAAGTGAAAAGCTGCATGTTTCTAAGAAACAAATCCATCATCAAGGAATTTGTACTTAAAACTGTCACTTCTGGACCAAAATACAAGTCCACAATCCATTATAATGCTTCCTCCAGTGTAAAAGTCCATCACCTGTTGTCCTCTCACATCAAAATCCACTGACATATTTGTTTTAGAAACTGTTTTGGACTGTTTTCACTTGTAAACAGTGCTTGATCTGTGCATATTTCTCTCCTGGTTCAGACAAGATGAGTTTTTCCACTGAAGAAAGCAATATTATGAATAGAGAAAGCAACTGTTTGAAGATAAAAACACCTTAATGATGGATTTCTTTCTTACAAACATGCATCTTTTCACTTCACAAGGCATTAATTGATGGACTGGAGAGGTCTGGATTGCTTGTGGATTATCCTGATGTTTTTATCAGCTGTTTGGACTCTCATTCTGACGGCACCCATTCACTGCAGAGCATCCATTGGTGAGCATGTTATGTAATGCTAAATTTATGTAAATCTGTTTCTATGAAAAAAACAAACTTATCTTCATCTCTAAATGGTCTGGGGTGAGTGCATTTTCAGCTATTTTTTCCCCCCATTATCTGTTTACTAGCATGTCATGTGACCATTAACCAACATCAGAGATCTGTGAACATGCGCATGTATCATTAAATTATTGACATACTAACTTAAATTCTCAGGGGGTAAATATTTTATATCTAAAGGTTTCGGCAGTGAAAAAGATTTTGGAAACCCCTGGAGTAAATAAACAGAATTGTAATTTCTGAAGGAATTATTTCTTTAAACAGATGCACAAACACACACACACACCTTTTGAAGATGCCCAGGTGAAGTGTGTGTATGATGAAATTGTAGCATGTCCGTTTATCTCCGTCGGCCCTGTACCACCTGAAACTCAACACCTGCACCAGTGACCCCGGCAACAAGAGGGCAAAGGTCAGTCCGGCCAAACACAGCTCCCCCTGCCACAGGTAGAAGCCCACACAGCAGACCACTGATGAACAACACAGAAAACATGTGTCATCATCAAACTCCATCTGTGTACTTCAGTATGTTTTTGTGTTGTATGAGATTATCTCTACAATATTTGACATAACAAAAGAGTAGTGAAATGGGATGAGATTATATCACAGTAAATCCAGGTTAAAATGTTATATGATGAAAACAATTCTGTAATCTGTCATTTCTGACAGTAAAGCGTTGCTAGATCAGATGTTTTCAATGATCTCTAAATCTCTAAACCTGCTTTGGAACGATATTTATTTTGAAAAGTGCATTTCAAATACCTTTTAAGTTTCTGTTCAGGTTTATACAACTAACAATACTCTAATAGTGGATAGGAAATAAAACACCCAATGTGTAAATATTTTCCAGATTAAATTATAATTATAACATTTTGCTGGATCTATCTGCAGCTTTTGACACTGCGAATCATCAGATCCTTCTGTTCATCACCCTCTCATCACTGGGCATCACAGGGATTCCACTTCGCTGGTTTGAATCCTATCTCAAATGTAGGTCCTTCAGGGTGGCTTGGGGAGGAGAGGGTTCCAAATCACATCAACTGGCCACTGGGGTTCCTCAGGGATCAGTTCTTGGACCCCTCCTCTTCACATCACTGGGATCCATCATATAGGCACATGGTTTCTCCTACCATTCCTATGCTGATGACACACAGCTCTATCTTTCATTTCAAACAGATGATCCAACGATAGCTGCACGGATCCCAGGCTGCCTGGTGAACATCTCGGCATGGATGAAAGAACATCACCTACAGCTTAACCTGGCAAAGACTGAGCTTCTCGTCTTCCCTGCCTCTCAGACTCTACAGCATGATTTCACCATCCAGCTACAACAAGTTTTGATGACCAGATGGCTTTCAAAGGCCACATTGCAAAGACTGCTCGATCTTGCAGGTTTGCACTGCACAACATCAGAAAGATCAGGCCCTTTCTAACGGAGCATGCTGCACAACTTCTTGTCCAGGCCCTTGTCATTTCTAGGCTGGACTACTGCAGTGCTCTTCTGGACTTCCATCATGCACAATCAAACCTCTTCAAATGATTCAGAATGCAGCAGCATGACAACGAGCCAAAAAGGGCTCACATCACACCTCTCTTTATCTCCCTGCAATGGCTACCGGTTGCGGCTGAGATCTACAAGTGAGCGATGCCTCGTGGTACAATCACAGAGAGGCATAAAATCACTTCCCAGAACATTTTCATTCGCTGTTCCGTGCTGGAGGAATGATCTTCCCACCCCCATCCGGAATGCTGAATCCCTGACAATTTTCAAGTGATCTCTTTCATCAACATTTGAGTGCATCCTAAAAAAACAACAAGAACTTTGCTTTCTCCTTCCTTAATCCCCCCTATCTAGTACTTGTACTTGTACTAATCTAAACAATGTCTGAAACTTTTATTACGTATTATGAATAGAGATCTAGATTTTTGGCATTTTTTAATTTGTGCTGCAAATTAGGCCGATTTATAGGCAGGCGCATCTGCGGGCAGCTAAGCGTTGTTGCGGAACGCCGGAGGAGAATCTCCCTCTGCTGGTGCTGATGTAAACGTTGACAGACGCACTTATCACGAGGCAGACAGACGTTATGATTCACGAGTGACAAGTTTTTAGCGTGATAAGTTATAACGTATCTCAAGTAATCACAATGCCTAAATATAAGTTAAAAAGTGGGAGAGTGACTCAAGTCTAAAAACGTTAATTATTGTGGAGTGAGATGACACGAAGGCTCTATCACTGCAACTCCGAAATCAGAGCACATTTGAATTAATTAATCAAAACCGAAACTAAATATGTCGGTTTATACGATCCTGTCTTTTATCTTTTAAACGGTCCAGATTGATAAATCCTTGAAAAATGCTAGACTTGATTAGTTTGGACTGTGCAGAGTTCTGTATTATGTTCTACAACTTAACAAGAGGCTTCCTCTAGTTCTGTGTAAAATTATAGAGCGACACGAAGGTAAGCGCATTATTGTTGTTGTTATTTTTTTTTAATTGTCGGATTACAATTCAGTATGTATCAATGAATGACACAGTTTTGCATGAACGAGTGTGAAATACCTGATAATTACGTTTTTTCCTATCACTTATTGGGCACTTTTTGCATTTAAATTTGATTATTCTGACTGCTGACATTGAAAATCATGCACGTGTTGTTTCGAGGGTATCAGTAATTTCTTGATTGCCGTTTTGACACTGTCTGCTTGCATATTTTATTCATGTTCGGTAGCCTAATTCTCTTTAATGTAGGCTATTTGCACCGAGTTGATCCGTTTACCTGCGAAATTATTATATTTATATTATTTTGTCGACATTATTTTGTTTTAAGGAGTTAAAAATGGCCCTTATCGACAACCTTGATTTACATGTTCTATCACATTATTTTGACAGTTAAAGTTTTGGGCGGGTTTTTGGGAGCTTTTGGGCTGGAAATCGTCCATCCAATCTGGCAACACTGCGTCTGGCTGCGTGAGACGGAGCAACTCACACTCTGCAGCCGCTTCTTGTTCACACACAGCTTCAGCTAATGATGGCAGGGCAAAACAGACCGTTTCGAAAGCGTAATTACGTTTTACCCTACTAGAATTGATGCCGGAAAGTTATCATATTCATAAGTGCAAGTCATTTGCATGTGAAAGTAGAAACATATGCAATTCAGACGAAACTTCTGGGCTGATTATAACGTGCACGATAACTTTCCTCATGAAATGTGTGTGTGGGTCCGACAATAGCCTCCACGATGTCATCGCTCGTGGCCAGCACACTCTTAAGCAGTTATGAGCAGCAGGCAGTGTAATATGTGTGAACTCTTATTTTTGGTATCACTTGGCCATTTGACTTATAGAAGTGTCCAGTGTTTCCCATACATTGAGTTATTTGTGGCAGCTCATCACAACAGACAGACCGCCACAAATAGATTTTCCAAAAGGCTTATACTTCCTTGAAGAAACGAGCGCTGACTTTTATGAGATGAAGGGAAAAAAAAAGAAAAAGAAAATCGGCCAAAAAAATCGCCATCATATATCAGCCATCGGCTGCCCTGGTTTCTAAATATATAAACCCATATCGGTCGACCTCTAATTATGAATGAATCGTTGTTGAATTCCTCAATTGTAAGTTGCTTTGGATAAAAGTGTCTGCTAAATGTATAAATGTTAATGTAATAATAATAAAAACAAAAACAATAATAAAATTATAATTTTTAAATACATTTTATAAATGAATTATAAATTATATACATTAAATATAAATAAATATATAAATTAATATAAATTTCAATTAAATGATATATTTTACAAAATTTTATTCTTCTAAAATCAGGTGTCAGGGTATTTACATGGTGCTCCCAAAAATACCATGGTACTACCATGGTATATTTAAAAAAAAAATCCATTGTACTACCATGGTATTTTTTCTGTTTAAGTATTACTCGTCCACCCACAGATACATCATGTAAACCAGAGGACATCCGTGGTATAATTTAACATGCAATCACAGCTATAACTAAAAAAAAAAAAAAAAAAGTATCAAAAAGTACCATGGTTTTACCATGTTTTTGAACAGGTTCCATGGTTACATCATGATATTTATAGACATGTACAGTAGCAATATCATGTTTTGGACGTAGTATGGATTGACAATAGTGGTACTATTGTATTCTTTGAAGTATCTTGGAGTACTGTGTAAATATCATGGTATATAATCCTCATTTGTAAGCCGCTTTGGATAAAAGCGTCTGCTAAATATAAATCGGGTAACGCTCGTCCTAATGTGCTAAACGGGGTGCATGAGATGCACCTGTGATGCGGTGTACGGTCACTCACGCGCCGCTCTCTCCGCCAGCAGCACGAGCGCAGACGCGGTGAGCAGCAGCACGCGCCAGCAGCTCGAGCACGCGCCAGCAGCTCGAGCACGCACCGCATCCTCTCCGCTCCGTTACCGGCATCTCACCGACCGGGACTCGGCGTTCCTCGAGACATCTTTGTGTTTGTTCTTGTTGTCAGCGGCGGATCCGGTTTCTCCGTCGTCCTGTCAAAATATCTGACGTCATGCTTCAGGATATTTAAAGAGACTGTAACGTACATCCCATAATAAAATCGCATGTTGTTATGTAAACGGATGCATTTTTTTATATTATATTTTATTATGTTACATTCTGTGTAGGCTTACCTATAAGCTATGCGTGCGTGTGTGTTACTGTGACCCGGATGTTTACAAACCGATGCTGTTCTGTAGGACAACACAAGAGAAATGTGATATCAGCTGGATGCTCTCTCTCTCTCTCTCACACACACACACACACACACATGTAATGTTTAAAAAACGTCACACATGTATTTAACACTCTGGTATTGTTCGGTCATTTTAGACCGGAATTTTTTTTTT